AGAGGGGCCAGAGCCTGATGCTAGAGCCAGGATGCCTGGGTTCCAATCCTAGCCTGGTCCATGACTATCTCTGTGACTTTGGTTATGTTTATACCTCATTTTTCTCATCTGTAAAAGTAGGATAACTCAGTATCGGGGTTATAATGTTAGATGGACATGCCTAGAATAGTGCCTGATATATTTAGTAAGTTCTCAATGGATGCTCTATTATTCTGTCTAATTATCAACTTATAGATGTTAATATCCCAAAGATATATATATATATGTATGTGTGTGTGTGTGTGCGCGTGTGTGTATATAGAAGTTTATATCCTGAAAGATATAAAATACAATAAATATTAAAAGAATACAAAGGGTAGCATATGAGTACCTCATTAATATGCAAATGACATTATCATAATAAAAGAATGAAGACATGAATTTGGAATAGTATTTCAAGATTTGTATCACTAAAGACATATAAGTTTAGCAAACGGTGAGACTTCTAGCGGATGAGTTGAATGTCCTGAGTTGTACGGGCTCCTGTGGCTAGTTTCAGCTCCCTCCCCCCCATCCTCCACAGGTGTTCCACCTTTTCCTGCCCTGCTCTGTGACCTTAGGGACTGCCACTGTGGGCTGTGATATCTGGAGAACCTTTGTCCTTTGGCTTACGGTCCTTTGGCTTACGGTTCGGCCAATGGGACTGGGGGTGGAGGAAGAGCACTAAGGTGCTATTTCCTGGCCTCGCCCTGCCTTGGCCAGTCTGGCAGGGCTGTGTCCACGGGTGACCACAGCTCTGGTGGGAGCCCCTCACAGGCTGCAGCTCTCAAAGAGCTCTTCTGACTCAATCCTCTCTCTCTAACCGGGCCTGAGTGTTACCACTGCTGACTTCAACAGGGTCCTTATGAGTTTGGAAAGTCGATGGTACGAATAAGTAATGAAATATTCCTAGCAATTACAGGAAGTCCCTTTAGGCCAAAGGCAAATGAACAAAAAAAAGATTTTGTTTCAGTTTACTTAATGTATGTAACACAGAATTTTCACTATATTTATTCATATTGGTATCTCTCAACACTTGACTAGGAACAAAAGGCGAGTAGGTGGAATCACTGTGCCCTGTTCTGGCAGTTGATTCAGCCGGCTCTATCCCATGGATACAAAGCCCCAGGGAGCACAAGGCCGCAGAATCTGAGGTACCTCCTCTCAAAGGGAGGCTTCCAGGGGAAGGACAGTGTCAGGGGTTTCTCCACTGATGTCTTTGGGTGGTGCCCGCAAGCGGCTGCTGCAGAAGCACGTGCAGGGTGAGGAGGAGGAGGCCTTCCCTCAGTCACAGGCAGCATTCTGGCGTTCTGCATGGTGATCCCAAGAGTGCAGAGCTCCTAAGGGATGTGAGCATTTAAATATCGCTGGCATTGCAGGGGCTTTGGAACCACAGACGATAAAGGAAAGTATGAACTTTGAGCAATGAGGTGCACGTGGAAGGAAGGAGAGCTCTATTTACTTTAACAACCCTGGTGCAAGGAAGAGACTGGCATGACTCGTGGAATAACACTCATTTATGCACCAGCAGTCAGTGAGAGGTTGTTCTGAGCACCTTGAAGTGCCGGGCATTGTGCTAGAGTAAAATAAGACAAAACCATCTCTACTCCCGTGGAGCTTATCATCTAGATGGGAGTCAGAAAAAACAAACAAGAATACGGGACACAGAAGAAGGTCAGTGGAGTTAGATAAAGAACAGGAATAACAACGCAAAGAAAGGTAAAAATAACCAGTGCAAAGATGCCTTCTCCAGCCATAGCCAATAACGTGCCAATCCCGAGTGGTGTTTAATCCTTGGAAGCTGCCCTGTCTCTGCATGTTTATTTCTGGTCTGTGGTCATGTTTATTTCTGTTTCCAGAGTGAAGAGGAGGTGGGCAGGCAGTGGGTGTCCATGAACACATCGCCCTCCTCTCCCCAGGCTGCATCCTGCCCTGGCTTGTCCTGTGTCAAGGGACAATCTCCAGCTTTATGAAGTCAGGGCTGGGCATGAGAAGCCCTGTCCTCCTTTGGTCTCTCTGTTTCCTCATGAGTGATGTGAAGGTTATGGTGGTTGCCATCTTCCTCGCAGCCCCCATGAATCCGTGATGGACGCCTTGGAGCGAGGGAGGGAGGAGGGCTTGGCCCAGGGATCTGGGATCAGCAGTGCCCACCCTGCTGGTGGTACCAGGCAGCTAGAGGCAGAAAGTCGAGTCCTGGGCAATCAGACTTGAGAACTCGGGAGTCTGGTTTCCTCAGTGTCATGGACCTCCCGGCTGCAGCCATAGCACCCACTGCCTGCTGGTCTCTGCCCTCCTGGGTGCGCATTGCTCAAATGCTGGCCAAAGAGCTTAAAGAGCACTCAGGTGCACAGGAAAGGAAAAACCTGTGTGTTTTATTTGTTAAACCATTTGCCACAAGGAGCAAGGATGGCTTATAGCAGGAAAATAAGCAAAAGGGCTAACTGCAGTGTTACGGTTTGTTAAGACTTCCCAAAGCCCAACAGGGCTTCCTGTTCAAAGCTAGACTCTGCCCAGGCGGCTTAAGTTCACTTAGCCCTGGCTCTGACTGTGCAAAGAAAACCAGTTCCCCTCTCTCAGGAATTCTGAGGCCCTGATTACAGTGTGACTCCACATGGAGGTTCCTGATACAATCTGATGCCTGTCCCAGTGGAGGTGTGGGGGCTTGTTCTGCACTGTAGGCTGTGGACTCTGGGGACAGAGGTGTCGCGAGTTGGAGCCTTAAATCGGAGGAGAGGTCTCCTGCTCACTTTGTAACAACTCGGCATCCAGTGAGTGGCCCTGGAAGGAAGCCTCATCTCCACCAGCTGGGTTCAGATCCTAGTTGCTCAGACAGGCACCTGCAACTTTGTTTCCAGGATGCATAGCAAACATTCTCAACAAGAGTGGGAACATCAGCAGAGGAAAGTCAGCGTGCTTGGCTTCAGGGCCAAGTCCTCGAGCAAAGGGCATAGCAGTTAATTGGCACTTTGAGGGCAGGAACTTCTGAGCCCTCAGTAGGGATCCACCTAGAGAACTTTGCTAATTCTTACAACATCCCGCATGCCACAATTTCCTTCCTCGGTGCAATAAAGTATATCTGACATATCTGCAGAGCCTCCTCGGCCCCTCGGTGCAGAGAGGAGTGGAAGGCAGCAAAGCCGGGTCGAGAGGGGGCTGGGCAGCTGGCGAGGTGCCTTCGCCATGGAAAGTGACCGAGGCCACTCTCAGCAGGCTGGCCGGCCGACACGTGGGCCACAAGCCCAGCATCTTCTGTGATTTCCATCAGGCCTTCACGGGGGCTCTATTTCATGGCCACAGTGAAACACGCTTGACTCCACGGTTTCCTTTGGAACACTGCGTCCCATTCACCTCACTGTGATGCTTGTCCCCGACACCCTCTGCCACGTTCCTGTCTTTATGCAGGATGCATGGGCTTCACTCCCCGCTCCCTGGGGACTAGAATACCATGCCAGCTTATATATGTATCTCAGGCTGACACACACGCATGTGTATATAGATGTGGGCATAACTTAGCATTTAAGCGACTGTATTGTAATTGTTGATTTACTCATATGTTCCACTACTGCTCCTTGAGGGATGAGACCTTGCTTATTTTGTCTTTGTGTCCTCCCAGCACACAGTATGTGCTTAATTTGTAACTGTTAAATTCGTGATATTTCATGCTATTCCCCATAATACCTAGCAAGTCCCTACAATAATCAGTCTTCATTGATTGCTGATTCCAATCCGTGACCTCCAAGACACCATCTTAAATTTCCTGCTCACAAGCTGAGAGAGAACTGAGGGGTTATATCGCGCGTGGCCTGGGTACTGTACATTTGGGTGTACGGGAAATAGCACTCGCTACTGTCGGCTGAAGCCTCGTGAATGTGAGCTCAGGGAGCGCTCAACTCTCAGGGCCATACATCCCTCCCATGGAGCCCTGCCTGCTCGGCCTGCCCCCGCCTGTGCACTTCTGCCTCCCAGGCTTCCTCATGTGCTTGCTGGTAAGTTACAGGAAGAGGAGCGACACAGGGCAAGTTTTGTTTTATCTTGTGCCAAACACTTGGTGTGCACACACTCTGCCTCAAGAACTTCAGAGCTGAGAGTGTGTTTGGAGGGAGAGGGCATGTGCAATGGCTGGAAGCCTCAGCAGGCCGGGCTACACGCATGCCGTATGACCAAAGTATTGAGACTCAGGCTTTCAGCCCAGCAGGCCCAGGCATCACCCCCATGCTTCCTTCAACAGCAGCACGGATCAGCCGTGTCAGAGAAGAACCCATATTAGCCGGCTCAGGACTCATTTCCCTTTCAACAGCAGGAGCTCCCGCAGTCAGCGCAGGGGAAGTTTTCAAATCAGGCATGGTGGTGATGCAGCAAGTGCATGCACCCTAGATGTCCCGTGCAGCTTTCTGGAGATTTCTAATATCTACATCTGGGGTATCTTGCCCACAAAACTGCACATAATTGACTGACACCTGTTTTCTTATGCACATTAGTAAGTGGTGAAAGAATGCCCGAATACCAGACAACCACAGACATATTGGATTTTCAAGTCAGAAGAATGCTTGGGATCATCTGACCCAACAGTGAGATGCAGAAGCCAGTGTCCACAGTGCTAACACCCTTGGTCCAAGGTCCAAGAATTTGAAACCCATGGATGCCTCCACGAAGCCGCCTCTGCTGGGGACCTTTATGATATTAGCAAAATTATCAACATTCATGGCCTATGTCTACTTATCTTAGTGTCTTCTCTGTAGGCAATTACTCTATCTTACCCCAATTTGCAGCTGATATATTATCAGTCTTTAGTAATCTGTCTTGTGTTCTGGGTGAAGACTGTCAGAGTCTTCCTTCTAGGTAGGGTGCTCTGTTCACTCTCATGACCCCTCATAATACCCACCTTTGCTCTAAACACGGTGGCTTTCCAGAAATGCTGCTGACTTCTGACTAAGAAAGAGTAGAACTTTCAAACGCAAGAAAGTGAAAAATACAGATCTTACCATTCGAGATGGTTTTCTACAAATGCAGACATGGGGCTGATCTGCACTGTGTAAGTGTCATTTGCTGAGTACTCAAAGAGTCCGTAGTAAGGGTTGAAGAGCTCCTGAGACAAAAGGAAGAAGAACTCTCGGGAAGGGCCGCTGTAGTCCAGGCTGCAAAGGAAGCAGAGGTCCAGGAAGCTCATTCCGTGCCCAGAGCTGGGGGGCCTGTTTCTTACCCAAATTCCAGTGTGCCCTTTCAGAGTCAGGGGCTGGGGGAAGCAGAGAGCAGCCTCTGCTCTTTGGAGTGGATCCCAGTGGAAGTATCAATTTGCTTTAGAAAATGAGGATGCAGTAATTGGTTTGGAGATGTGTCTTAACCAGATGTCCATGAATGAACTCTTACGAGTTTTCCTTAACCTTTTCTTTTGATCATCTAACACCTATGAGCTAAAACATACAGCTGGCCTAATAAAAACAGGACTTTGCTGTGGGAGACATGAAAGTATTTCCAGCAACAGTGCATGTGTGCTTGCATGTGTGTGTGTGTGTGTGCACGTGTGTGTATGTGGGTGAATTGAAAAGGCTTCCACGTTCATCCCAATATGCCCTCCTAGGTGGGCTTGCCCTCCGTGGTTGCGGTAGTTTTCCATGAAATCACTGAAATTATATGAAAAGTTTGGTATGCAGTTGTACACGTGCACTTAAAGACCTCCTGGGAGGATGTGATCAGAATCACCTGGGGGCAAAGGCTTATGGCCACCCTGCTCCTTCTGGGGAAATATCACCCCAGATCCTGGGGCTCTGGTCTACCCGCACTGAGGCGTCTGCATAAAACTCCTGGTGCCTCACCCCTCCTCTCCAACAAAGGTGACGTAGAGCTTGTTTCTCTGGAGCTCTTTCCGGGAATAGGCCATCACCTGATTGAAGGTTCCTTCCAACAAGTGATCCCGACGAATAATGAGCCTGAGAAGGAGAAGGGGTGGTGAGCACGACCCTGAAGCCAGGATGTGGGCTGTGTTCCACGTGAGCTGAGAGCGCCCGGGTTTAGGGTCTCGCTCCCCAGCCTCCCCAGCAGAGAGGAAAGAGGAAGATGCAGGTTCTGCCAGTTCAGTGAGGGACTTTCTTAACACTGTTTTCAAAACATTGGGAGCACAAGGAAAACACGGACACTTATCACACATTCCATCATATTGGACAACTTTTAAGATTCTTTTTTGGTCAAGTCATAGGATGTCTCAAGTTGGATTCCTCAGTTTGGGCTTGGCTTTTCAAGACGGAAATAATAAACCCAGAAGTGAAAAAAAATAAACATTTTACTTAGACTTCAGTTACAAAGTTACAAAGAGTCCAAGAATTTGACTAAAGAGGTAAAATTTTCCCCAAGAATAAGTAAAGGGAAATACAAGATTTTTGATTTAGTTTAAGATTCCTTGTTTTCTGAAAACAAGGTCTACCACTGATTTTTCTATATGCCTTTGTCTAAAATCTACTTTCCTTTCTCTTTCTTCTTTCCTCTCTTCCCTTCCCTTCCAATTTCTTAACTTCCTTTTTCCTTTCCTTCCAACTTCTTAACTTCTTTCTTCCCTCCCTTCAGACCATAACTGCTACCACACCTGGGGATTCAATCTCAAAAAAAAAAAAAAAAAAATCACAAAGGTAGAGGGGAGGAAGGGATAGAAAAACCTACCACCTGAATTCAGTGCCAAGCACTGGAGCACTCACTTAATTTTCCCTGGACCCTGCCCAAATCCTTTGGCTTCCAGTTTTCTGTAGAAATTGCGGAGCTTGGCCTCAAAGTCTCTCCGGTAGGGTGAAGGGGCTCTTGCACTGGCTCTCTGTAAACCTGCAGAGAGAAAGAAGCACACAGGCCGAAGGTCATCACTGTCTACTGAAGAATAAACATGAAGAGGATGGCAGAGCAGGCGCTAACCCCAGGCACACTCTGGCATCTTCATATTTTTCGTCTTCAAGAAGTTCCCCTCGATTTCCATCACTCTTTCAGTTACTTTCATAATAAACAGAAATAATGTACTAAGGAGAAAAATGAATTCTAATGGGGATAAATATTTATATCTTCTACCCCAATTATTTTGGGTTGTATTTCTTTTAAAAGTATCTTGATGAGCATTTTTCTTGGCGTACTTGTACTTAGATAATCCAAAATAATTAACATGAACTGAGCTAGATTAAGTGTTTCTTATAAGTTGCTATAAGAAATGATTGAATATATAATGAGGTAACTAGGACATTTGTCATGCTTCTATATAGATACTGATGCTAAAATAAACGTGTGTACGCTAGGGCTCAGAGCATTCAGGAATTTATATTAGAGTCCCCTGCATCATAAGAGGAAAGCTTACAATAATTACAATAATTCATTAACTCTATATAGAGGAGAACTTTTATATCATTTAGAGTGCTTTGTAAATGATTTACCACCTTTAAACACATTTAATGAAAAGAAGAATGGAAAAATAACATCCTTATTCAAGTTTTATAGATGGCCAAAATCCGCTTGCCCATCCCGTAACTATTCAGTAGTTACAGACCATATTCCAGGTATTAAGCTCACAGTCTAGAGAAGACTGATACCAGCAGACTCACAGACGTGAGTATATAATTACAAGTTCAGACGACTGCTACTCATGAAGGAAGGGAATCCAGTTCTTTGATATTACAGAACATGCTTGCCAAGTCTGGGATCTGCGGGGGAAGATCATGAGCTTGGTCTTTGACGGTGGGACCTCCGATTGTTCGATTGGAGAGAGGTGTAGTTTGAGGGAGAAGAGAAAAAAGCTGGGATTGAGCCTTAAGAATGGTAGGGAGAGGAGGATGAGGCCGCAGGAGTGGCCAGAGAAGTAGATGAGATGCCTAGAGTGGTGTCCCGGAAGCTAACAGAAGAGGCGACGTCGGGGGAGGGCATCTGCTGGAGGAACAGGAGGGCCGAGAATTACCCACAGGATCAGCTGACCTGAGGTCCCGGCGACCTTAGTGAGGACACCTCCTCTCACCCACAGGTGGGCAGGAGGATGAGATGGGCGCAGGTTTGGCGGCAGGCGTTTGCGGCCGTTTCTGCTGCATGGCCTCAACTTTCTCCCGGAAGTAAAATGGGACGTGATTTGCTGGGAGAGACGAGGGGGTGGGGGCTGGAAGTTTGAGGGGAACATTTGAAATAATAGTAGAGAAGACCAAAGAAGTGTGCTAGAATTTTCTTTTGGGTGCTCAAGGCTCATGTGAAGTGAGAGATGACTGATTTATAATTAATAATCTGCCTGTCAAGGGAGTTTGCCCAGGAGTGCCTGGCTGCGGACGGGGAGGAAGCGGCTGGGAAGGTTCCCGGAGGGGTGCAGTTGTGCCAGACGGTGCAGACGCAATGCAGAGAGAGCGCAGGGGAGTTCAGGGAGTTCAGGGCGTTGGCGGGATGTTGCTGAAGTGATGGGCCACGGAATCTATGCTGGGTAAGGGGAAGATATTAGAAAGGAAAAGAGAGAATTCCACGTGCTGAAGGCCTGAGAAGGCCAAGGGACGGCAGCAGGGAGAGGAGTTGAACAAACATGTTGGAAGGGAAGAGGACGCTTGAATCAGTGACTGTGGAGATGATGACGTGGTGTGGAATGTGGGTGTGGGCGTGGGTGGTTGAGGCAGGGAAGGAGAAAGTCACTGCAGACAAGGAAACCCAGGCGCCGGGAGGCCAGGAAACAGAATGGGGGTCCTTGTGGATGTTAAAGTCATCCAGAATGACGGAAGGACCTGGTGGGGAAGGAGAGGAGGACTAGGAGACGGGTGCCACCGGCTTTGAGAACGAGAAAATGTTGGTAGACGACAGCAACAAGGAGAGAGGAAGAGGGGAGATGCCGCTAAGGGTGTAAGCGAGGAAGCGTGGGGGTCCCAGATCCACCAGACCCCACAACACCTGGGGTGCAGGGGAACCAATAGCCACCACTTGCACAGAAGTGTCTTGGTGAAACACCGGGTTTCAGGACACAGAGGGAACTAGAATACAAGTCTGTAAGTGCAAGTATAATTTTCTGTCCAGCAGATTACAGTGTATTTTGTAACATTATGACTTTCACTATTGTTGGTGCTATCACTATCCACATAATCACTGCTATACATTGTTTTCTAATAATTTATGCTTTACAAAGTACTTTGGTGTAAACTTCTACGATTCGCTATCTCTGTAGCACCCAGGTAGATTTCATAAAGGTCTAGGATAATGGGAATTATAAAATTTAAAATCAAAATATTTGGATTGCATAATCTAGAATTCAAAGTTGGAGAGCAAAAAATTAAGTACTTTTGACAAAATGAGTTGGATGATTACTTAGATTCATGGCATTAGTAATGTGTCCATCAGGAAAGTTGATTCCTTTTAGAAAAGTTATCCACATAATTTTCATTTAGCAAATACCTCTTCATCCTCTGTTATTTTTTCTAAGTGTGATGTGGCACCTCTCTCATATAATGATGTTATAGTCATGCTCTACTACCAAAGGTTGAGGACCAAAGCACAGACACATTATCAGGCTGGGACAATCTCTTCAACATGACAGAATGTCATGCAGACCAACAGCTCCCCCAAATGGAAGACTTTGCTCCCCAAAAGTAGGCCCCCGTGAAGGCTGGAATGTCAGATTGTACTGATGTTGGCTCTAACCCGGCTCCTGCTTCGTTTTTTCTTAGGCAATGGGATTTCCTTTGTGTGTTTTATGTCGGAGGTAGCCAGCATGTGCATTTCCTTAACAATGCCATTGGTACACTCGTTTGGAGGAAGTGACAAGAAGGAGATACTATCTTAAAAACAGATTTTTTAACAACTAGCAAAACTACCTCTAAGAGACGGTTAGAATGACACAACTCGGAGGAACTGCACTAAAAGACATTCTAGTTTTGGAGACTGTGGTGGTACTGAATGACACTAACTCTGAGTGAGACGTCCCTTCTGACAGACACAGCGCATTGCTAAGTTCTGTTCTCTCCTGAATTTCCCCACTGGCTTCAAAAGCCCAGCCTGGACCCTGACCCTAGAGTTTGTGAGATAGGAAGTTTCGAGATTTGTCAAACTAACCTTTTTTACAATGAAACAATGTGAAAATGTGATAATGCAAGCCAAATAAAAAGGGGAAAATTCTCCAATGTCTGGATCCAGTTTGGCAATATGGATTTGATCTAAGCTCTTTATCTTGATGAATCCAAAAAAATCTCTTTTTTTTTTTTTCACTAAACAGTTCAACATATATTCCCTCATTTGGAATGGAAAATACCTACAGAGTTTTTATATCATAAGTTCATTCTCATACATAAGGAAAACTTAGGGGGAACAATTTCACATTATGTAAGAAAATTCTTTGGGATCTTTGTGGAGATTTAACAATGGCCCCTAGTAACCATGTTACCAAAATTGGTATGCAATAGAGTTCTGACTCATAAGGTAGAATGTTTCAGAAAGGGCGCCTCTCTCTGAAACGCTCGGAGATTGCCTATGGAATGCAACAGCAATTTAGAGCAAGGATGGTAAACTTTTCCTGTAAAGGACCAGATAGTAAATATTTTAGCTTTGCAGGCCCCATGGTTGCTATTACTCATCTCTGCTGCTGTGGTGTGAAAGCTGCCATGGAAAATACATAAATGAACAGGCATGGCTGGGTTCCATGGACACTGAAATTTGAATTTCATGTAGTTTTCATGTGTCATGAAATATTGTGCTTAAAAATTTGTTTCAATCATTAAAAAATGTAAGCCCCATTCTAGCTTGAGGGCATTACAAAAACCGGCAGCAGTTTGTCAACACATACTGAGAATGCACTGTCAATCAGGGAATTGGGGGGGATGAGGGAGAGAGGACACACACAGTCACCCTTCATTCACTGCCACCCGGTGGAAACACACATGGCCACTCGCGGGCACCGTCAGCGGTTACCTGGGGAGTTTTGAGGTGAGGAGCAGGGTGAACAGCGGGGAGAGAAGCTGTACCCGGGGTGGAAGGCAGCCTGCAGGGGGACGTAGGACATGATCTCTTCTTCAAAGAGACTGCAAATTAAAAGAAAAAGTTAGTTCTCTGATCATGAGAAAGTGTTCATCAATTGAGGTAATAGCAGTTATAGTTCTCACAAAGGAACAAAAGCAATTAGATTTAAATGTAGTATAAAAAGATAGTCACATCATGCTTGCAAATTTTTTTTTTTTTTTGAGACAGGGTTTCCTTCTGTCAACTGGGCTACAGTGCAGTGGCATCATCATAACTCACAGCAGCCTCAAACTCCTGGGCTCAAGCGATCCTCCTGCCTCAGCCTCCAGTGCTGGGATCACAGATGTAAGTCACCACGCCTGTCCTCAGTGTTTTTGAAACCCTGTTTCATCATCAGCAAAGTCTCCACCAAGTACTTCATGTTGCTCCTGCTACCTCAGTTGTAAATCTGAAGAGGCTGACAGGCAGCAGGGACGGCGCTGGGGACCCCACTTTGGTGGCAGCTCTAGAATCTTCTAGAACAGGTGGTCAGTGGTTCAGTCCAGGCCCCTTTCAGGGGTGGCTGTGATGGAGGAGGACTGCCAAGGGAAGCTTTTCCAGAACCGCTGCGGGCTCAGCTCCTTACCTCAGCAAAATGACCAGATCTGCGTCACAGGACAACTTTTCAAGCCCGTGATTACCCTCAGTCCGAATGTAATGGATTTTCTCCCTAGAATCATGGGGGAAAGAAAATAAAAATTACACATCAACACATAAGCTAAGGAACAGATCTCTTTTTTTCTCTTCCAATATAGCTGAATAGAGCAAAGTCCCCCTGTGCAGTGTGTTTCACAGTGTTCTAAGCTTGCGTTGCAGGCTTGCAGGATGCGCTACACAGGACAGCTGTCCTCAGGCTCGCACAGGTGCAGAAGCCGAGGGATGCAGCCACGTCAGGTCCTCAGACAGCTAAGACAGGCAGGAGTGGCGCTGGGTGATCGAGAGCCCCTGACAGACGGCCCTGGTCTCGTGGTGTACTGGAGGCCACGGAGGGCAGGGCGAGTGGGAAGTGAGAAATCTGTGGCCGATGGGAAATTCATGGGAAATTCATGATGCCACACGGGGCACAAAGGGGGCCTGGCCTCCAAAACCTACGAGTCTCCCATCACTTTTGTCTCTAGCTACAACTCGCCTATTCTGATGAACCTCCAACTCCAACCTGGCAAATTATTTCAATCAGTTTATGGAGGAGTAGCATTTATGTTGATCAAATTAACTGTGTAATGTGCTTCCCTGACATTACTCTAAATATTGCAAACACTGTACCCAAGAATCTTTCCACTGTGTGCATGCTTCAATAAAGTTCAATGTTTTGCCTTTCCTGAGGAGATGCAGCAGAAATCTGGGAAAACTTAAGGACTGATTTTTAAAAAAATATTTAACTTTTTTGGTTGAACCATTTTTATTTTGAGACAATTTTAGATTCACAAGTAGTTGTAGGAAGTAATACAGAGAGATCTTATATACCCTTCACTCGGTTTCTTCTAATGGCAACATAGGAATGATATTTTAAAAATCTATTTTCGAAAATAGTGTAGATACAACATTTTCCTCTCTATGATTATATTAATTGAATCCAAATCTTCATCATAACTTGTATTAAATATATTGTCAGGAAAAAATAGAATCAACTTGACCGTCGGTGTTGGGATTTTTTTTCCCCAACGACCCTTTCCAAATGAGTTGTGGGGACTTTTTAAAAAGGCAAAGGAAGCTACACAGAAAGAGATTAAACAGAGAAAGGCCTTGTGACCCAACCTCTCAGTGGTAAAGCGCCACTGCAGTGAATGCCACTCCCAGAACCTGGGGTGGGGGACGGTGTGTCCACACCTGCTTCTCTGCCTGAGGATGGAAAGGGAGCAGGTGGGGGCCCAGCCTGGAGAGCAAGCACTCGCCTCCCCAGGTCCCTGCTGCTCTCTCTGCCTGTGTCCTTGAGCCCCTGTCCCTCGCTTTCTCCTCCAAATCCTCATACTGCCTCCTAGCCCTCTTGTTTGGAAGATGCTCTGGATGTGCTCCTCTAATTTACTGACTTCAGCCTCAAGAGCGACTCTCAAATTTATAGGCTCTCCCATGATAGTGTCCCCTGCGGCAGGTTATCTTGATGCCCCAAGGGATCCACGTCTGGTTACAGCCCTGGCCTTCCTGCCTGGGGGAGAAAGGGACAACACATTCTAGGGATCATCTTGATGCCCAAGGCCACCAGGGAAAAGAAGTCCAGAGAGGGGCAAGTCCACTAGGGCAGCAACGTGCAGTCTCCAGTCACAGAAAGCAGCACCCAGTGCAGTGGTTCTGTCTCAGCACCACCACAGGGAACACATCCATGTGTCGTAATGCCCAGCACAGTTTGCAGAGAGTTCAGCAGCTCTCCATCAGACATTGTACCGTCTGTCATGTCTATGAACTTCTCATGCAGACCCAGTGGTGTGAGGAACCTCCAAGTGTCCCTGGGGCTCCATCCCAAGGACACTAAGAACTGGGGCAGATATCTGAAGAGGGGAATGCCATCTGTCTCCTGCATATATTCCTTGGCCATCAGGAAAACTCCAGCGCAAACCCTCCTGGGCCCTCAGGACAGTAGAGCCACCTGCCTTGTTGACATTTTGACATCTCCACATCAGGACCACTACCATATCCCTTAAAGATAACAGATGCCACCAGCGTTTGGGTTCTCTGGCTCCATCCCCCTCCTCCAATGAAGCTTCCTTGTGAATCACTGCTTGCTCCCTGCTGGGCAGTTTTCTGAGAACTCTAATCTAGCCAGCAGCTGGCCTGTGAACCCAAGACAGAGAATCCACGGCTCCCTGAGAATAACAACAGCTGAACAGGGTCACAGTCTGCACTTGGGGACCCCAGAGGAACCAGTAAGTTCTAGATGGGGTCATGGGGAAAGATGGTTTTCTTTTCCACTCTTGGATCTTTAAAACGGATCTAATTCATTCTCACACCACACTCAGGGGGCAGCAAGAGGTGCAATCACAGAGAGCAGTGCCTGGCTTCCTGGTTCTCTTGTGCTTGACCTCCTGAAGAGCAAGTTCTTACTCTTGTCTTTCTGCCTTTTTAATTCCATGTCCTCACAGTCGGTTTCGGATAATCATAGTGGGCCTTCTGTTTTTCATGAGATATTTGGGTTCTCAGGCTGGGGTCCATAGTTCTTTAGAGTCCATTAACTGTTTGAAATTACATGCAAAGATTTATCTTAATATGTAGTGGAGAGTCCATAATAGCTTTCATCAGATTCTCAAAGGAGCCCATAATCTTTAAAAGGTTATTAGTTTCTATACTAGACAATTTCTGAGGTTCTTCCAATTCCAACATGCCCAGATTTCAAGTACCCCCAGCTCTGGAAAATCATAATCACATAATTCCACACTGCAACAAAACTTTTAAGGTTTCCTGGATTTTGTTATAATGTGATATTACACAGGAAGGCCGAAAATTGTTTACTTTCCTTTGGAAATACATTCACTCTTTTACACGGGATTACTTTTAAAAAACTTTTCCAATGATTAAAATTGGACTCTAGTGCCTTTGGTGACTTCAAATTCCTCCAAAAAGTAAGTGGCGAGCTCAGTTATTAGTGGTAGAATCACTAACATAAAGAACTTTTGAGAGCAGCCATGTCTCAGAAACTCTCCAGGTAATGCAACTCCCCTGGAAATCCCTTGAAAATCCCCTGAAGTTGTTAGGTACTGTGCGTGGGACCAGCCCATGAATAAATGGCCCACATGACAGTATGGCACTGCCATCTGCAGTGGCTCAGTAATGACACTTGGGCAGGTAATTCTTAAGAGCTGAACATAAATGAAAGTGACCATTACTCACACTAAAGACCTTTCATTCACTCAAAAAGTAATTAGTGTTTTGATAGAAGACCAGGTTCTGAGGAGGCTGAGCAGATACAAAGATAAGGAAGAGAAAGGCCCTGCTCTAAAGAGCTTATAGTGCTGCAGGGAGACACAAGCCAATGACAGAAAACGAGAGCTCTGAAAATAGAGGTACACAAAGCATGCTACTAAAGCAAGACAAAAGAAATACTAAAGTCTGCCTGGATCACTGAACTTTTGCATTTGATCTGGGTCTTTAAAATGAGATGAGATGCCCTTCACCGAGAAGGCATTCCAGGAGAGGTCAAGGCAGGACAGTACACAACCTGTGTGGTAGGGGTAGAAGACTCCGGAAGGAAAAACTTAGCATAGGATGGCGCGTTAGGTAAAGGCCAGACTTTGGAGAACAGGGTCATCATGCTTAGAAACGTTGACTTCATTTCCTATGTGATGGAAGCCTTGGAAGCTTTCTCAAAGGGCAGGAGGGACGTGATTTGATCTGTGCTGTAAGAAGGTAGTTTTGGTTATGGTAAGGAGACAGCTGGTATCTTAGGAGAGACCTCTGCAAGTTCAGGAGAGAAACGATGAGCCCCCAAGCTTGAGCCACAGCAGGGAGAAGAGAAAAGGAGGGCTGGAAAAGAGAACGTGAGGAGGTGAATGCTTAGATGTGGAGGTGAGGAAGAGGGAGGATTGTGGCTCTAATTCACAGAGTGAAAATACAGGGAAAAGGGTATCCATGAGGGGGCTAGGAGAGGGGAAAGAATAGGGAATGATCCATCTGGTGGGACTGGCAAAAATTTGAATGGCAAGGAGGTGACTTGAAGGTGTTAGGGATTCCCTGAGGAGGTCAGAGTCTTACAGGTGTCATCCAGATTGGAGACTGCCCCCTACCGGAAGGGAAGAAATAAAGGCCTTTAGTTGACCAGATTCTCACCTGCCTTGCCTAATCCTTTACACACATCCTCATCTAAGCATCTCAGCCATGCCCACGTTGTGATGCCCATGTCAGGGATGAGATAAGGGGATTGAATCACATGCCGCCATCAAGAGTCCCTAAGTGCTGGAGCAAGAACTCAAACTCCAAGGAGGCTCACTCTTAACCACCATGCATCTGCAACTTTTGAAAGTTGGTTAGCAAACTGAAGGGGAGAGATGTTTGAATATTTGGGGAGAAAGCAGGATTTAAGTACTGGGGAAATTTTCTCTTTTTATCACTTTAGGTGGCTATTCCTTCCAAATGAAGTGATTCAGAGCTTCAGAGGCTCTTGTTCAAAAATGACTCTAATGAACAACAGGATTTAAGTAGTTAGAGCATATATGATACTTTTTTGTTTGCTTGTTTATTTTTGAATATGGGCACTCAATATTTGGTTTACCAGTAAACAGTTATATTTCAAAATGAAAAATAATTTATGTAGCACTTTACACACATAATTTTTGAATAAATACTATTTGTTCCCTTTCTGTGCTTTCCTCCAAATCAATGGAAATCATTTCAGAATCACATAAATAATATGCAACCTGATAGTAAGACTATCTCAGATTGTGCCATTTCCCAGAACACTGGAACCCCCTGAGCCCTTTATTTTGAAGATTTGAGTTATTAATATAATTTAAATGCATGAGTAAAATGCACCACAAGCTTCTACTCTCTCTGCACAGAGGTGTTTTCCCACCAGGAAAAATAGCTGGAAAGACCTGGAGTTCCAGGGGTGAAGGATGAACCCTACCTGAGTGTGTGGTTTCTTGCCAAGCTGGGCTGACGCTCTTGCAGCATTTCAAAAATGTTTGGCTGGCGAAGAAATGCCACAATCTTGTCATTATATGCTGAAACAGACAAAAGCACAGGGTTGTGGTTGAGTCTGCAGCCCAGAGATAATTTCTCTGATGATTGGAAAATGGCCGCTTGATACCGGGATTAACGTAGGAGTTTGAAGGGCAGGCAGCGTACTCATCAAAAACATGTAAGCTCTTGAGGCTTTTTAAAAGTGTGACATAATAGCATTATTATTTTTAAAAGATCAAACTGAAAGTGAACCAGATCTGAGTTAATCACCCTTAGTACTTCAGAAACTTTGCTGGGTGTTAATGCACATCTGTGTGAACAGGTGAAGCAGACTACAGTAGCTCACCCTTGAGAGAGTTCTCTCTTCCTGCTAACTTTCCTTGGTCATTTTGCCACAGTTAGGGTGAAAGATTCTTTATGAATTCAAAGACATCCATGCATTGATTTCCCAGTAGTGATAAGGTAAATGCCCCAATCCATCCAGACTCTCTCACCTCATTTCCCTCCATACAAGTGGCATGTGTTTTGGAAAGAGGTAGCAGAGGTTAGGGGTGAAGACTGCAAACATTTCCCATATACCCATGGAAAGAAAGGTGTGCATTAAATACTGTATTGAGCAGCAATAAAATCCACCACTTCATTTAAACTATGCTCTTCCCAACCAAGTTAACAAATCAATGAGTGGAATATAGAAGAAGGGGCAGGGGCTCGGGAGAGAGTAGGGAAGAGAGAAGTGGGGAGGAGGGGAAGTGGGGGGAGTAGACCATACCATAAAAGAAGGAAAAGAAAACACAGAATCTTGAATATTAAAGGAGTCACGATAAAACAAAACAAAAAAAAGGCTAAGTATCAGGTAGCCGGGAATTCAAAGCAGCGAGATACATACCCAGTGGCAATGACTCGTGTTGATGTTGGCTCCGAATAGCAGCTACTAGGCTGTGTCCTGGCCTGGCCAGTAAAGAGGCTCCTCTGTTTCTAGAGACTTCGGAAGCCTAATTTTAAAATAAAAGTGTAAACATTGGAAATCTGTCATCAACTTCAGATGGTCTTTTGATACCAATTTTTCAACATAAAGGGCAAAAGATCCTGACGTGACCTAAGTCCAAAAAAGTTGTAACCTTCAAAATGATGGAAAATAAGAAAGTTTAAAAAAATGACTAAGTAGAGTGGTTGATGTTGTTATGGTTTTTAAGAAAGTGACTGTGCCAAATGTCATGGGTGTTAATCAAATTAATACACAGAATAGCCTAAGACACATTTCTTGTCCTGAATATGCTAAAGAGAGATAAGTTCTAGACAAATATTATCAGTAAGGTAGGCTTATAACCCTCCTTTCCTGGAGGCAGCACTGAACTTCAGTACTGAGTGTGGAATGGACTTGTTCTCTTAGACAGTGTTGATTACACTCAGGGCCGGTCTCTGCTGAGAGCCTTTTATTCCATTCACTGCGCTGGCTTCTCTCCACGTAGTATCTTGCATCCTAACAAATTCTGCAAGATAAGCATTACTAGCCTCAATTTACAAAATAGGGAATCTGAAGATCTGAGAAAAATAAGTTTTTCCCAAATTTTCAACTGTTAAGAGAGAGAACCAGGATTCTAACTATAATAATACTTCACTCTGAAGCACTTGTTTACTCCTCCCATGCTACCAACCTGCTTCCAAATCTTGGTTTTGGTTGGGCATTTTGACAAAACTTCATGGGATAAATAACGTGAGAGAGAGAGAGAGAGAGAGAGAGAGAGAGAAGAGAGGGTCGGTCCCTGGTGGCCTGCCTTTCCCCAGACGTTCTCTTATGATTGGGTAAAACCCAGTTTCCAATACTGACTACTTTTAGGATTTCTTTTTCTTTTGATGTTGATAGCTTTAATCATAATTGTAAATGTGAAAACTCCAAACATTTAGCTCTCCAGACAAAACAAAATAGATATCCTCAGAAAATAGTTTTCAGTACTGGTAAACAAGCTTCTCTTCAGCATTGCAATTTGGAAGCGTATGCTGGTGGGTTTTCTTAAAGCTGTGAATGAAAATTGCATATTTTACACTGCATTTGGGTTAATAATCAGCTAACGCTTTCTCTGAAAACGCTGGGGACTTGATGATAAAAAAATTAGCAAGTTCATAGGAAAAGCCCAAAGGATGAATTTACATTTATCTCTAGATTTCTTTTGTGTTCTAAAAATAGATTAACAAAATTTTTAGAATTATAATAAGTAAACAAAAGAAAGATGTTTGTTCAAAGTTTCTATAATAGTAAAAAGTGGGCAACAAACATAATGTGCAAGAAAGGCTTGAGTTAAATGCTGGTAGATCCACATGACAAAAGATTATAGAAGAATTTTAATGGCGTGGGCGTTGTCTACAAGGTACTGTAATGGTAATGTAGGACGCAGAACCACAGACAACATGACCCAGTTTTTTACTTTCAGGTGTACCACTGTCTCCAGATGGGAAATCATGCTTTCCATCTGTGCCTGTGTTTTCTACACTCATTCCATATTGTTAATACAGTCACACACCACATAACGATGTTCTGGTCAACAACGGACTGCATATAAGTTGGTGGTCCTGTAAGATTATAACGGAGCTGAAAAATTCCTATTACCTAGTGATACCATAGCTGTCGTAACATTGTAGTAGTGCATTTGATTTTTTAAAAAAATAATAAATTTAGTGTAGCCTAAGTGTGCAGTGTTTCTAAAGTCTATGGCAGCGTACAGCAAGGTCCTAGGCTGCACATTCGCTCGCCACGCGCTGACTCACCAGAGCAACTTCCAGTTCTGTAAGCTCCATTCGTAGTAAGGGCCATATACCAGTGCCATTTTTTATCTTTTTTTAACCTTATTTTTACTATACCTTTATGCCACCAGAGCCACTGAAGTGACATTTGCCACCAAAGAACCTCACTCCAAAGAATGACTAAGAGTGATTTCTGCTTTTAAAGTAGGAAGTTTCTCTTCCCTGCCAGACACTTGCCCTTTCCTGGGGCAATCACTGTTGAGCTTTTTTGTGTGTACCTTCCAGAAATGTTCTATGACGGATGATTTTCTGATCTGACCAAGGTAAGGTGGTAAAAGAAAGAAAAATATGTGCTCTGCTTATCCTTTCTTAATAGTGTTAATTATATTACTAATTGCTGTATAAACAAGGCAAATTTGTTAACCTTTAGTGATTTACATACTGATTGGAAGATGGGAGCCAATATTCATAGCCCTCTGTGCTCTTTCTGTTTACGTCCAATTTCATTTGGATATTAGGAGAACAGGTAAGTCTTACTTTGCTGGCACTTGAATATATTGCAGACAGATGTGTCACTGCATTAAAATGCAAGTCAAAATGTCAAATAATTATCTTTTTATGTATAAATCCTATATCCATAATGACACCATTCAGCAATTGGCCTGAAAAATTGCCACGTGAGGTAAAAGATAATCCAAAAGATATTTAACAATATCTCTATTTATAATCTATTATTGGGTTTTGAGGGGAAATTTTATCATTTAGGATCCTTAATAGAGAAACTCATTTTAATTTTGTTTTTAAGCACAATTTATAAAAAATCAACTGGTAAACAACAGTCAAGAGAATGGCTTATGTAGGTGAACAGAAAATAATCAATATCTAGAGTTGTGGTCTAAGAAACATCTACAGCTAATTCCCCATTGCCTGCGATACAGGACACAGGGAAATAATGGATTATGAAATAATCCCTCAATTATTTCCTGTTTAACTGCAACCTCTAATCAGAAATCCTACTGCTCTTACGCTCATTGTCAATTTGTCTAAAGACAAAGCTGCCATCCTCCCTACTCGTCTCTCCTGCTCCCCTTACCTACATGCTGTCAATGGGACTGTGACTCTTAGTCACACGGTCCTGAAGACTTGGAATCAAGCCTCACAGACTCGAGAATCACAGGGCTGGGACAGACATTGGGGTCATATGTTTGCAGACGCAGAAACTGGGGTCCCCACCCGGGGAGGAGTGCGCAGTGGCACATAGCTCCCTGCGCCCCGCCGACTGCAGGCCTAGTCACGCTTTCCTGCACACTGCCCAACTCCCCAGCCCTCTTCCCACGGGCTGTCCTTGTTTGCTGTCTCTTTGTCACCCCCACTGGGGGCCTTATCCCCTTCCATGGGGACTGGGGCAGTGGTCCCCAACAGGCCTCTCAAATCCCCTTTTTCCACAGTCCTACCTTCATCATCTTCTTTTTAAAATACTAGTTTATACCTACTGGGAGTTAGCAAATCTGAGCCGTGGTCCCAAACTCCCTGCATGGCGTGAGTTCTTGATATTTCAGTTTACTGGACTGTAAAATACGATTCCCAGCTGCAGTGGCGCTGTCATCTGGGGGTGTGTGGAAATGCTTGGGAGCTTTGTTTTGTTTTGTTGTCATAATGAACTAGTGAGGCAGGAATGCTCCTGACATTTAATGGATGGGATCAGGACAAAAAAGTCCTGTGATGTTACAGTACAATTCTGCACATCAGAGAATTGTCCTGCCCCAAATGCCGGCAGTCTTTCCCTGCTGGGAAACAATGGGTGAAATGATCTCTAAAACCCACTTTTTACATGAAAATCATCATATTACTTTCCTTAAATTCATTCAATGGGCCCTTAAAAAAAGTTCCAACTCTTCCACGCGGCATTCAAAGTTTTCCAAAAACCAAGACACAGCAAGTGGGAACCTGCTTCTCTGGCCGCACTGAACTTCGCGCCGTCTCTCTACGGACCTGTCTGGGTCCCACCTGCACCTGTGCTCACGCTGAGCTCTGAGGCTGCCCTCCCTCCTCCCTCGTTCCAGCTAGAGTCTACCAGTTTTCAAGTTCCAGGTCAGGTACCTTATTTTAAAAGATAATTTTCCTTGGCCTCTTTTGAACTTCTGTGGCACTTGTTCTAACATCTCTCTTGGCACTCAATCACATTTTGATTTCTCTTGTGACTTAACTCTGTATTTATTTTTGACCTGGTTTCAAAAATACAATACAAACTTCTCCAAGGTGGAGATTGCCTCATACTTCTTTGTATTCCATAGTGCTCAAAGCAAGCCATGCCTTTGGTCAATGTTTGCTGAGCAAAATCACATCACAGCAAATACAGTCGACATTTCCCACCACCCCTTCTCTGTTTTTTGTATCAGAGTCCCTCCTGTCTCCTCATCCCTAGGCTGTGGGCTCTCGCAGCAGTAGGAACCAGGTATTTGTTTTCTTAGAAGCTGAGTCTTTGTTTTTTCTAGTGTGCTGCCTCTGGATAAGATATCTCCTCTGCCTCTCAGCTTCTCTTAATATTGCTTTGCTCAGTTTCCCCTTATGTCAGTCCAAAGCTACTAGAAGAGAGAGGATGGGCAGGGGGATGGGAGAGGTTTGAAAGTCAGCTGGGAATGGATGCATTAGGAAGCAGACAGATGGCTGATGTAGATTAATGCCCCTTCATCCTTATGTGTTAGAGTCTTTCAGCTAGTTCCTGGCTGATGCAGGTGGCACTTTGCCAAGAATGTTGACATTAAATGAGCTGTATTTGGGCTATTCAATCACATCAAACACATGCTTTAAAATAGGTAATGCATATGGTACCCATGACCTCAATCTCGTTCTTGCAGTTAGAAAGGTTTTTAATATTTATATTTTCAGGTTGATTTCTTACAATTGTAAGAGCTCTATAACTTTAGAGAAGTCATCTTACATTGAGTAATCGATGTTTTTGTTTTACAGACAGCGAACCTGTCTGCAGTACTCAGCTTCTTTATCACGTGTAGTTACCCTATGTTAATACTAAAATTGTCTTAATAATATTGAAGAGCTTAGACATTTAAAATAGCATAATTCAAATTGATGCAGAAATTTGAACTTATTCACTATAATCATAAGGCAAAATACCTTGTACTTTCTGAAGTGTTATAAAAGTACCAGCAGGGAGGGGGACTATGTATGTCGAGCTGGGAAGTTGGGATGTTGCTTTCTGTAGTCTGTGAACATGTCTGCATCTAGAAGGCCCTGACACCCACATAATGCTTGGGGGATGTATAATATTCCCTCTCTGTCTGGTCACCCACATTTTATGTATATGCAGAAAGAAAGATTTAACATGCTTTCAGCAGTATCCTGAAACAACGATACCTAAATTTATTTTATCACACTGGCATTAAGCCGTGTGTGCCCTTGGTTGGGGACAGTTATGTCTCTCAGAGTATACAGCGGATTACTCCAGAAAAGGTGGTAAATGACTGGTGCCCATATATCAACAGGCTCTTCCCTCGAGACTCATGTTTGCTGTCTGGAAGAGATGCTGTCACGTGGTTCATTATCTTCCCAGTCCACTGTGGCTCTTCCTGGGGGATCACACATATATATTCCTTTCCTTCCTATATCACTGTTTGGATTTTTTTGACCTCATTTTCATCCAATTGTATAAGCTGTTTTATGGGAAATGGTTCTCAGAAGCCACATCTCTTGAGATCCTGGTAGTGTCTATGAAAAGAAGGCACAGGTACTTGGGAAATGTCAGTCAGAGCATAAAAAAAGATTTGCTCATAATACTGTCAGGAACTAATTAGAAGTAGAAAAAAGCTATGTTTTGAGTTTTGGGTGAGAAAAAAAGACAGGAAAGGGACGAGAGATAGAGGCAGTAATTCAGAAAGGCAATGAAAGTGACGCTTAGCCCTTCACTCTAACTGTGAAGGGTTGCCGTCCTTCTCATGAGAGAAGACATAAAACCAGGGAAGAGCACATGGCAGAAAGGGAACAGAACATTCATGGGGCTTGGTTAACTTCCCCCAGTTTCTAGTCTAGGAGTGCTTTACTGGATTCTTCTCCAGGATCTTGTGGAGAGGTAGCAGTTTAAAGTCAGTCATACTCTGTGCAGCAGTTCCATGGTCTTCCGAGTATTCGCATGTGGCTGGCAGGCCTTGGGAAGCACAGCTCCAGCCACAAGTTTAGGGATCACCTGTCACTGCATTTTCAGTCTCCTTTAAACTAGACAGATTTTCAGTGGTGGTGATCGTGCTGGACAAAAGTGAAGGTAAAGGAAGGTCATCTGAAGACAAGTCTAGGGAGGTAAGTGTCGTCATTCGTTCTCCTACAGAGCAGTACACATATGGCTCTGTCTCTTCCAGAGCAGGCGACCCTAGATCCTGGCCACCCCCACCCCCCCACAGAAGAGGCAGGGACTGTGTCCCTGTGAGCAGCAGAGGGGGTGCGTGGGGGGTTACCTCTCCTGCGCTGTAGCTGCGGAGCCGCTGGAGGTGCTGTCGATGAGTCAGATGGTTGGGAAGACGACCGTTCTGAAGAGGGATTCGGGGGTCAATGAAAGTGGTAGCTCGACTGTTGTGGTCCACGAAAAAAGACTGCAGACAGACCAGTGAAAGAAAGCACCCCTGTGAGCATGGGCAGAACGGAGGGGCTGACATAAGGGCCCGCTGCGGGGCTCAGGCGTCAGGGTTATTGCTGCCTGGCTTCCCCGGGCCCCAGTCCACCTTTTTCATTCTACTCAAAAGTCATCTAGCTCGATGGGGCACAGGGACACTGCGCCTCTGCTCACTGCACCTCTGCTCAGCAGTTGAATGAAGCAGTATCAGTCCCTGCTAAACACTTTACATTGTGTGCGGAGTTTACAGAGTAGGAGTCGTAATACTCTCTCCAACATGGAAAGTAAGAGAAATAGAGCCTCCGATGCATAAATCACCAAATAAGTAATTTTGGTGATTGTTTTCCCCAGTCTTGTCTTTTCCTGTACAAATACATACATATTTTCTCCACATCAGGATCTACAATTCCGTTATGGAATTTTTCACTTATTTTATGAGCATTTCCCTAAGTTATTAAATACTCTTCTAACAGAGAATTCTAATGAGCGTATGATATTAAGTTTCATGGATATGTAACGAATAATTAATTAAATAATAATTTCAGTAGCCTTCATTGTTGGACATTTGACTGTCTTTTTTTTTTTTTTGTGAGACAGAGTCTCACTGTGTTGCCCGGGCTAGAGTGCCGTGGCGTCATCCTAGCTCACAGCAACCTCAAACTCCTGGGCTCAAGTGATCCTCCTGCCTCAGCCTCCCAAGTAGCTGGGACTCCAGGCACGCGCCACCATGCCCGGCTAATTTTTTCTATATATTTTTTTTAGTTGTCCAGTTAATTTCTTTCTATTTATTTTAGTAGAGACGGGGCCTCGCTCTTGCTCAGGCTGGTCTCAAACTCCTGGGCTCAAACGATCCTCCCGCTTTGGCCTCCCAGAGTGCTAGGATTACAGGCGTGAGCCACAGCACCTGGCCCCCTTGACTTTCTTACTGTTTTAAAATAATGCTTCAATAAACACTCTTGTACATAAATCCTTGAGCCATATCTGATTACTGTATATGTTCCAATATATGGCAAAAGTTGTTCTTTAAACCTAAAATTACCTCATATAAAAGAGATAGTTAATATTGTTTTTCCCAAAACCTTTGTACTATAGGACAATCTTTCAATTACTCTCTTTTGAAAAAATGTAACATTTGGTGAAGATATATTAGCCTTAAATGATCTCAGTCAATGCTAATTTTAGATATTTTTAGACTCACCCGAGAGAAGCAAAGAAATTTTATACAGATTTAGAAGGTAGGAGCTTATAATTTCAAGTATCAGATGCCATTGTAAACAAGCCTTTTAAAGAGCTCTATAAAAAATCATACAGTGGTTTCATTATTGAGATAAAAAATATCCCCCCTCAGGACAAAAGTAAACAACAACTCTCCTAATACCACGTGAATCAGTATTTGTGGCCTGTGGTGAAATTTCCCCAGATAGCACCCACACAGATTCAAAAGGGGCTATATCCAACTGGAAGTGAAGATGACGTGCCCTGAAAAACTGCTAGATAACTGAAAAAGCGACACCCATGATGTCAAAAATACGAGTAAAGAGTCTGAATAAGACTGAAATCTGAGTGGAAAAAAACCCCAAATTTATCAACAGATTTACCTGAGATTTTCAATACACAAGTATAAGCTAAATGAATTAATATTAAAAGTAGATTTTTTATTATTCAAATACATGCCTAGAGGTTTATAAATTAAATATGTTCCTTCTATTTGAGCATATGTGGTGATTTTTTAGTATAAATTCCTATAAGTTGAATTAATTACTGGGTTAAAAGAAAACTATTTCTGATTATTGATCCATATTAACACGCTACCTTCATGGCAGTTGTGCAGATCTCCCCTAATACCATTAGTCCATGAATCCGCCTCTGTGTAATGCTATCGCAGATGCTGAGTAATTTTGAAAGAACTCTTAGAATTGTTAAATGGCAAAAATGTTTAATTATCATTTTCCATGGAATTTACAAGAGGAAAACATTTTCTCATAGGCTGATTGGTCAATTTTTTCCTTAGACTATCGTCCACTATGTCTGTTCCCTTTTTCATTGTCGTTGTTGGGATGTTAAGGTTTTCTTATTTATTTATACATGTACTTAGTTACACATCTGCCTTTAAATCTGCTTTTGACTTTTGTTTGCTTTGCTTTTTAATATTCCTATGTATTTAAATCTCTTAATCATTTCTCTCTAGAGGTCTGTTAAATGTTTATATTTTTCTAGCTTTATTTTTGGTGCATTAATTATTAACATTAAATCTTTACTCTTTCTGAAACTTTTTTTGGTGTAATGTGAAGTTGTAGTTTGATATTTTTCTCAAAGAGTCCATTTTCCCAAATCATCCATTCTCTATTGTTTTATTACATACAAATCTTTTATAAATTCTACTGTCTGTTTCAGGAATATTTTATCTGTCCCAGTGGTCTGTGGGTTTTTCACTGGTATCATGCTATTCCAATTATTAATGTCTGTAGGGCAAGTTTCCTCTTTATATTTTCCAAGATTTTCTTAGGTATTCTTGTCGGCTCATTTTTATTTTTATGGATGGACTGATCTTAATTTTATTATGTTCCAAAATAGTTCTACTGGGATATTGTTTGGAATCACTTCAAGACTATAAATGATTATGGAGAGAATTCATTCTTTATGATAGTCAGTGTACCTGTTTCCCATTTCTGAACATGTCTATTAAAGATTTTTTCCTTAGTAAAGTTTTGTAACTGTCTTCCTGAAAGACACATATTTCTGGTTAAGATGGTTGACAGGTATTTAATGTTGTCCATTGCTCTTCTGAGTGCTTATTTCCTATAATATTTTATAACCCATCATTGCTGGTACCTAGGAAAGCTATTATTTGTGTATTTATTTTTTATCTTCTCTTTATATTAAAGGCTTCTGCCAAATAAACTATTCTTTTAAGTGTATTCTCTTTGATTTTTACTTGTAAATAATGTTAATTTTGTCTCCTTCTTTACAAGGGATTTTTTCTTTTTACTTCCTTTTCTGTAACATTGATAAGACCTCCTAGGACAATGCTAATAAGAAGTGGCATTCGCAATCTTTTTTTGTTCTTGATTTTGATGGGAAAACTGCTAGGGTTCAGTTGTGAAATATGATGTCGTTCATTCTTCTAAGAGGGCCTTTAATTAAGTCATGAAAACATATTTATATTCCTACTTTACCAGGAGTACCTGTTTGTTTTTAAAATATAAACTTGAATTTAATTTTTATCAAGTACTTCTCTAGCATTTCTTAAAAGCATCACCTGAAATTCCTCAATGGTTTACATACTATTGGTTAAAATACTGGTGATAACAGATTCACTAGTAGTAAATGACTCTGCATCTTTGGGAGAAAATCTATTTAATTGTGGTGGGTAATTCTTTTAGTATACTTTCCAATTTAACACTTCATTTTTTAATAGGAGCTTTTTGGAATGCAAGTGAGTTTTGCCTACAGTTTTTTTAATTTTCCAAATCCCTTAAATTTTATTTATACTTGTGTGTGTGTAGTTAGTGCTACAGAATTTTATCACATGTGTAGGTTCTTGTATGCACCACCACAGTCAAGATACAGAGAAGTTTCATTAACACTAGGATCCTTCACGTTGCCCTTGTGTAATCACATTCACCTCCCTCCTACCCCCATCCCACCCCTAATTCCTGGATAAACACTAACCTGTTCTCCATTCCTGGAATTTTGTCATTTCAAGAATGTCATATAAATGGAATCATACAATGTGTAATCTCTTGGGATTGGCTTTTTCACTCAGCATAATTCCTTGAGATTCATCCAAGTTATTACATTCACCCTTTTTCTTTTATTGCTGAGTAATATATCATGGTATGGATGTATCAGTTTGTGCTAGTAGTTTTTACTTTTTTTCTGGTTTTATCAGCAAAGTTATGATTGCTTCATAAAATAAACCATGCAGTTTCCATTTTTCCTACTTCTGGAGTACATCATAAAGCTATCTGGGACTGGGCAAGTACATTTATTGACGCATTTTTCAACTTATTCCA